TGCTGTGCGGTTTGCTCCATCGTTTATTATTGGCTTGTGTTCTGTGCCGGCGAGGTTGTTAGGAAGCATTTCAGTTAGAGGTGGGGCCACAGGGCCACTGGCTTCAGATGAAAGCTGATTGGCCATCTTCCCTGTCACTCATTGAGTCATAACATATCATTGGCTAATGATAAGACTGATCCCTCTATATGAATTATGGCCCTTCTTACGCTTCCCAACTATAAAGGTTCTAGAATTGCCCCTGTTTTTGGCTTAACCCTACAATCGTGGGATTCCTTTGATGCCCACTTTCGCTATAAACTGACGCCCTGTAACCACAGCCGTGTGATGAAGGGAGATGGACGCAGAGCGGACTGCGCGGTACGCCGCCAGCTCGGAGAGATGGCCGGCCTGCTCTAAATGTCATGTACGGTGTAATTCGTCCGTCCGTGGCAGCTCTGCGAGAGGAGTCTGGGTGGGATGATGCAAAGCGGATGAAAAGAGCAGCAGGTGGTGGTGTGGGTGGGGGACGGTCCAGGCGCGTGAGAGCGACCGGAGAGTGCGGAGAGCCACGTCCACGCCAGTAGAGAAAGTGCCGGAACACCAGTCACCGATCTGCATGTGGCTCATTACCGTGATGTCGCCCTGGAGATGTGCGGGGGGGGGGGGCGGCTCTCATGCTTGTTACTGCTGCAAATTCTCGCCGTTGTCCACATGGCCATAGCAGGAATACCTGACCTTAATGGCCCCCACTGAAGACTTGTTTTCGTTATATGGTTAGTAGGCGTGGGCAAAAAAATCCCTTCACACATACAGACGCTACAAATGTACCCCATGTTCTTAATACAGCCCTGAGTCTCTTTCAGCCTGCCTCTCTTCCTCATCTTTACTTTTACTGCCCTGCTCTCTCTCTCTCTCTCTCTCTCTCTCTCCTTCCTTTACCAGTGCTAGATTTATGAGTGGAACCAGTGCCCTGGGCTGTGACCACCCAGTACACTTTCAGATCAATAATTGGAAATATTAATTATCACAGCTGGGGACGATCCCGTCAAAAGGTGTTTATTTCCCTATTAGGAGAGCGAGAGTCTGGGTTCGATGGTCTCGTAATGCGTATTAATGATCCGGCAGCGGATCCATCTTAAAAGCGGGACGGAACCGGTCCTTCACTGGCTCTCTGCCTCGGTCTCCGTGGGGTACCGTGATATCCTGGCAGCTTGCTTATCTCAAAATCCTTTAAAAGCCAAATTAAAGTACACATATACTTAAGCGGCCAATAAGTCCCGGGTTTGTGCTGGTAAATCCCTTAAAATTCGACCGCGCGGTTCAGTGTGCTTTAGGCATTGCCGAGCCCCACCGCAGCGGTAAATGCGCACGGTGCAGCAGGCTGAGCCGCAGAGTGTGGGGGCGGTCTTTGAGGACGCGGCGGGACGGCAGGCCGCAGACGCCCAAGGCGCATATCCAGGCCCTCATTTTTTTCAATCCCGCTGACTGGGAGCATCGCGGGACAAAGAGGTGGTTACGTAAACGCGCACGGCTCCCCTCAACAGGGGCTGTATCTGATTGGCTGCCCCCCCTCCCTTCTCAGGCTCTGTGTCACACACCTGCCTTGTGTTCCTGAGAGAGCAGTGGGGGTGTTAAACCACCTTCCGTCACATCATCCTTGGGAACCGCCGGCGCTCGCGGTAGCGTAGGTTTTCTAGTGTCTAAGCAAAGCACCGTCGAGGCTTAACCCCCGGCACACCAAAAACACACAGACATCTTCCAACCATTTATCCTGGTCTGGGATGGGGGGGGGTTGGCAGGACAGGGCAACTGGAAAGACCCAGAGACGACGTGGAACTTCTAGAATTACACTCAATGTCTCTATGGCAGTGGTATTCAAACTTCTCTTGTCAGGGCCCCCCCAGGGCTGATATGTTTGTTCTGATCCCTCCCCCCACCCACGCATACACTGACACCAAATAAACTTTAGTTTTTGGCAGTATTTAGTTAGAATTTGTTACTATCATACAATGTGCACAGGGCATATAATTTCTTCACATTAAAATTTCTAAAGGTTGCTGTTTTGAAATATGTCGGCCCCCATCTCAAACCACCACCCCCCCCCCAAACATAGAGTTCTCTGTTGTTTTTTTGTTTTTCCTTTACCTGCACCCCCTTGCAATTCTATCACGCCCCACCAGGGGGGGGGGGCACTCCACAGTTGGAATACCTCTGATCTATTGTCATCAAGAATTGGGAGCAGCTGTGTAATAATAAAATGAAGCATCAATCGCAAACCCTGTTTTTAGCCCCGCCCCTTTCTCACCTGTAAGCAGGCAGATTGGGTGGTTGTTAGACAGTCAACTGATGTCACAGGAAGGTTAACGATTCGAGCCCTGGGGGGGGGCTCAGGAAAGCGGCGGGGTGAAAATGATGCCAGGAAGTCATGGCCGAAGTGCGACGTCGCGGCGGAGAGGAATCGATGGTGCGCACGGTCTCGCGGGCGGCGGCAGCGGTGCTGACAGGTGGATCCCCGTTACAGGGCGTGCGGATCCGTTTTGCTCGCAGAGACGACGAGAGGGGGTGTGAGAGCAGCATCGGCGGCTTAAATGAAGCATTTTGCTGAATCGCTGAATGGGGGCCACTCGCGGCCCGGTGACCGCATTCACGCCTAAAACTGTCAGCGCATGTACGAATGCGAGCAGCAACACTCCGTGTGTTGCGGGGTGGGCTGAGCCTTTGGAAACTCCACTTAACTCTGCTGAAATCTTATCTGCCACTCGCAGGCTGCGGCTCTCTCTCCCTCTCTCGCTCCATCTCCCCTGCTGATTCGAGTGGGGGGGGGGGGTAAATCCTGAAAACATACCAATTAGAGCCAAATTAACCCCTTCCTCTATGGGCCGGAAAGGACCGGGGGCTGAAACAAACAGGAATGTAGGGAATAAAGGGAAATCAGTGGCATCGTCATGGCGAGGATGTAAACAGAAAGCTCTCCGGGACGACGGCACGAATTCGGCGACAGGCTCCTTTGTCTCGGCGGCGGGTGTGACGTGTGCATTAGTTACGGAGGAAAAGGGGGGTGCATTCTGATTTGAAAGGCGTCGATAGAGAATGAGCAGGGATAGGCATAGAAATAATATTCGGCCATCTTTCTTTGGTTTTAATACCCTTTATTCACCGCAGCGTTGGAACAGGAACCAGCATAATGCAGTTTTGGCGGAGAAATCTAAATTATAAATTTGATCAGAATTTCTGCATATTTTAAGTGGAAACTGCGTGTTGCACTCTATTGCAACGGCCCCTTTTGTGTTTTTGGAAATGTGTCTTTTTCTGTTGCAAAATATGTGGCAATAGAATGGTGTTTCTAATTTTTAAGTAATTCAAATGTGAACTTCTGCAGAACTAATTTTCTGTAGAACTCACCCCCCCAC